AGATTTTCAAAATCCTCAAACTCCTACAAAATCAATGAAGATTTAAAATCTGTGTACATATTTTATGAGTTAACCACCCCTCGCTAACTACTACTTCGCGGTATTTATAGCAGTGTATTTATCTAGAAAAACTTGGAGCCCTATGCTTGAATAGAATTTTCCGAATCTTTTACACGACGCGCATAAAATTGCATTTCTTAGAATCCGGCCGGCTTCCCGAGGCAATTTCGTAACAGGATTTTATCGCATGATGGCTGCAGCAATGTCCTAATTCATTTAGAATACAGACTATACTATCATTAGGTATTGCAAAATTAAATTACCTTCAAGACAACATAAAAATCACGACGAAATCCATTTATTCAACACTTCGTTCTACTAACTAACTAGTCACGAAATAACAAAACTAAATCACTGTCATAACTTTTGTAGAAAATACTGACTGAGAACATTAATATTAGTTTATCTTATAAATCTATCTAAGTTTTCTAACGCTGTCCGATAAATAATCTTAACGAATACGATTTTTTATTTCCAAAATATTTTCTTGAACAAAAGCACAAATTGTGTGTGAAATAATCCTAAGAAGCATTAATATGTTTTGTAAAACATTTTTTTACTGGAATTATTATCATCTCGGTTCATCGATTTTTATATTATAATTTTTTCAGTCTCGTTCAGGCCAGTGGCATTTACGAAAATGTCATAGCCTATTCGTTTAAGCTCTGTAATTCATAATAACTATATTCTTATCCAGGTGTGCTTTTTTGACTGGGACAACATTTTTATGACAGTTCCGACATAATGATTATTATCAACTGTGTTTGGTATAGAGTAACATCGTTTTATTTCAAGTTTAAACCTTACTAAAAAAAAGACTCCTATCATCGAGAATATGAGGGCAACCTTTAAATTTCCATCATTACAACTTCCACCTACTACTGGAATAGCTCCACTGCATTGCATGTTTCTCTGTCAGGTTCGGAAAGAATATTATTGACCAAAAGCATAATGGAATTTTATAATAGTGCACTTTTTGTGCAAAAATTATTGATTCTAGGAAATTAATGTATAGGTATTATACAGTATTTTTTATAGGAAATTTCAAAATATGTATACAAGATAAAGTTTGTGAGGCTTTCGCGGCCCAGGTTTATTGATAAGGGGTTTTCATTCGGGCTTAATGGCCGTCATAAGTTGGAATTTCTTCCTCACGTTTCGCTAACACGCGTGACTAGTATCTTCAGAGGTGCTTCCATATCCGAATCGGGTAGCAGCCTGACGCGTTCCCGACCGTAAGTTGTATTTATGTGTGAGTGGCTGTGGTGGGGGAGGGGCAGGGCTTCGCGGCATGTGCCTAATCTCAACTTTCTCTGGACTCAATGGGATCTTTCTTGCGGTTTTTAGGATCGAGTTCCAGATTTGACAGCCAACATTCTACGAAAGGCTCGTCCACCAACCAGTAACCTCTCTAAGAAGGAATTAATGGCAATTAGGAACCTGAATTCAGCGGAATATATGATCATCCTACCTGCGGATAAAGGCAACGCAACTGTCCTGTTAAGAACTGAAGACTACAACCGGAAAATTCAGGAACTCCTTGATCCATCTACCTACCGAAAGCTAAAGAAGGAACCCACACAAGCCACACTCTGGAATACCAACAAACTGATTAGGTTATCTACCCTAACAGACACGGTTAAGAAAGGCATCATAAAAACAGAAGCAGTTCCACCACGACTCTAGGGCCTACCAAAAATTCACAAACCGGAAGTCCCGCTAAGACCTAAACTGAGTGCACCTGGAGCACCAACGAACAACCTAGCGAAACATCTTGTAACCGCATGTAGGAAAAACTAGCTCTTACGTCAAAGACTCCACTCACTTTGTCCGGAAAATTAGGGATATTATTCTTCAACCTAACGATATTCTGGTCAGATTTGATGTCGTGTCCCTATTCACAAAAGTGCCATTGACAGAATCTTTTGAATTGATATCAAGTACCTTCCCCAATGACATAGTTGAGCTTTTCCGGACATCTCACTGGTAGTTACTTCTTGTGGAACGGCGATTTCTACGAGCAAACGGACGGTGTAGCTATGGGAAGTCCGCTCAGCCCGGTCATAGCCAACTTCTTTATGGAGAAATTCGAGAGGAAAGCCATAGAATTTTTGGACCACAAACCAACGGTGGTTTCGATACGTAGATGATACTTTTGTGGTTTGGAGTCATGGGGAAGAGAAGCTTAATCAACTCCTAGGCCACCTACCTGAACGAGCAACATCCTAGCATAGAATTTACTATGGAAAAGGAGAAAAACCAGGAAATCGCCTTCTTAGATGTGCTCATAAAGAAATCTGGAGACAAACTAAGCCACACGGTGTACCGAAAACCTACACACACAGACAGGTACCTGCACGCATTTTCAAATCACCATCCAAGGCAATAACGTTAGCAGAACGTGCTCGGAACATCTGCTAGCCACAATATCTCGAGCAAGAACTGGATCATCTCAAGTCGGCCTTTCTATCAAATGGTTACAATGCTTCTGAAATCGACAGGGCCATGCGACCCAAAACTGCCACACGACAAAACGTGGATGAACAACTAGTGGTGGCTAATACATATCTGCCTTTCATTTCTCGGGTGGCAGACAGGATAGGGAAAGTCTTGAAGAAACACAACATAAAAACAATCTTCAAGCTAACAAGGAAAATACAGCAGCAGATCAGCCAAGGATAAGAAGAACCCACTATCAAGCGCTGGAGTCTATCGTATACCATGCACATGTGGTAAGGTCTGAATAGGAACGACAAAAAGATCCATGGGAACCAGGATGAACGAGCACAAAAGAAACTGCAGACTAGGACAATCTGAAAAATCGGCAGTTGCGGAACATGCGCTTAGTGAATGGAATCATGAAATACGCTCTGGTGAGATCAAACTTCTTGCACCAACTTCCGGATACCACAATCGTCTTGCACGTGAAGTTATAGAAATCCACAAACATACCGAGAACTTCAACAAGAAAGAAGAAACACTAAAACTTAACCAAACCTGGGACCCGATCCTAAAAAACGCAAGAAAGATCCCATTGAGTATAATACAGAGAAAGTTGAGATTAGCCACATGCCGCGAAGCCCCGCCCCTCCCCCACCACAGCCACTCACACATAAATACAACTTACGGTCGGGAACGCGTCAGTCTGCTACCAGAATCGGACATGGAAGCACCTCTGAAGATTCTAGCCACGCGTGCTAGCGAAACGTCCGTCAGGAAGAAATTCCAACTTACGACGGCCATTAAGCCCGAATGAAAACCCCTTATCTATGTATACAAGTTTTATAAACACTCTATCGACCTCCGAGTAATAGGAGTCATGCTGGCTTAATTGCAATTATTTTAACTTTAGGAGCAAATTTCAGCCTTTATGTCTGGTTATTTAATCATGAAAGTCTAATGCCAAATATCTAATATCTGAACAAACCGAGCCATTAAAAAATACTCATCCCAAAAGCAAATTGAAATTACCTGTGGGATATGAAGTGATCCCTTAAGCTCCTGTTGTTTCTGGATCGTTGCTGTAGGGTTACGTCTTGTGCACGTCAATAAAACATTTTATATAGAGGTATAAGTGAAAAAAGATTTGTCGTCAGTTACTTCATTGATAGTTGAGATTTCAATCTTGCCGCAGGCAGTATGCGATGTTTTCGACAATACTTTAACTACTTATCCAAATATCTAATTTTCAGACTGCAAACTAGCCCTTAATTTTTTATCGATTCGATGTTTCCTTTTAAGCAATCTCAATTGCTCTGAAAAATTCGATAATAATTTTCCTTTGCCAATGGCTTCCGTGAAATTCTTGTCTGACAAATTACTCCAATTAAAAGTAAAACGAATTAAAATTGCTTCACTAATTGCATTTTTCTTTTGAGTTCACTTCTCTTTGGAAACGTATCACAAATAAAACAGAACAAATAGAATTAAAATTCTAGGAAATGAAAATAGAAGTAACTAACATAAAGAAAAATGTGGTATTTACCTTGCCAGTTTTTTAATTAATTTTACATCAAAGTTAGGTTCAGTTTGTCCTTGGGATAAAACAAGCTCTCTTTAAAATTTCATTCAACTTTTCCCATTCAATTCCGTATTTTTGGTATAGAAAAATAAACTTAATCAAACTTTTAAATCCACGCGATTAATATGCATATAGTCTGTAGGGTCCCTTCCCATCTTTGTTAGAAAGGTCGTCTAGATTAGGCAAAAGCCTTATTTTAATCAACACTAGGAATATTGAAGTTAAACAAACTTTCAAAGAGATTTTGCAGGATGTTGGTTATAGAAAATTAGGAACATTTCTGGGTGGAATAGCGTTATACCGTTGATTACACGGTATTAAATATTTAATTGATGTTTTGTTAAAATTCGTTACGGTTATTTCCATTATATAATTACGGAATTAACTAAATAAATTGGGGTCGGATTGATATTTAACTTAAAAGGGTAAATGAAAAGGTTTGCTGCGGAATAAAATAAAATATCCCTCGAAACAGACTCGTAAACGAACTTCGGCTTTAGGGAGATTTCCAATGGATATCCTTACGCACTTTAAAGGCTGGTTTAAATATTTGGAGCGTAAAACGGGCTTTGACTAACACTTTCTAATCAAAATATCCCCATCACTGTTCTAGGTCAAAGTACTAAATTTTCTACGAAACTTTAAGAACGACAGAAATTGAAATTTACGTTTCCTGCAGTAAATTTATAGGGAATTTGCTTAGGGTACTTGTTTACTTTGGTAAGGAAAATATAAAATGTGGACCGTATTTCATTAAATTGTTTGTTTTACAGTCATTAAAATGCGGATCCATTCAAAAATGTATTTCCGAGCGCTACATTTCACAGTTTATTTCAAAGACAGGATTGTGATATTGTCTGAAAAATATAATATGTGTATCATATTCTTTTAAATGAGGAAATCCTCTAATTATCTACAGCGATGGAAAAATAAAAAAGCCATGGCTCTACCTGCTGTGAGGAGAAATGAAAGAGCAAATAAATTAAAATCTCAAAACAAAGGCTCAAAGATTTATGATGGCGATGGTAAAAATTTGGATACTTTGCTGTAAGTAAGATCTAAAAGGATTGTGTTGTCTAATAATGAAGCAGCCAGTGAGTATACTCAACTGAATTCATTGTCACTGTGCGAAATTAAAACTGGAAAATCCACAGGTTGCTGATAGAATGATAATCGATGAAAGATTTTAAATTGAAATTGAAAGATATCGAAACTGAAAAGGAAATTTTTTCACCTTACCTGGCTTTTACTTCCAAACTCCATTCAGCTGGCCAACTCTTTCAGGAAGTTCAAGTCCAATGCGAAGGGGTACAAACGAAACCAGTCACGGCAAGTGAAAAGAAACGGTTTTTTCTCGAACCACACGAAACGAACGTAGTGGTTTTGGCGACTGATTTCCTGGTTGACAATGTAAGGACTTGGAGATATCCTTTTTCACTCAGTGTTTAACGCGCGCATTCCTAAAAGCCGAAGTTGACAAAGCCGTAACAATTATTAGGCATAAAAACGCGCAATTATTCAAATAGAATAAGAGAAACAAAAAATAAAGAAGAAAAAAGAAACGAAATAATTTCCATTCCCAAATAGAATTTGACATCCTAAATACCCAATTTAGGGTGCGTAGACGAAACTGAACAGTCACTAAACAAGCAAAACAAAATCATAAATAAAATAGAATAGAGAAATTAATCATTTCAACTTCAACCCAAGAATTTTGTACTCGTTCTTTATTCTTTTTAATAGAACTTTTTGAACAATCTGCTGAAATAAAATTATTAAAATTGAGAGCTTCGACTATATGTATATAAAAATTTCCAATATTTCACTCGTAGCCGGAATATGAAGTGAAAAGTTTTCAGGCTGAACTTGCACTGCTTATATCTACATGTCCATTATTGCCGCCCGAGTTTTCAACTTTGATTTACGAGCCAACCAATCACAATGGAGATATGCGAATAAGTTTGTGCATGTAATTCGCAATTCGCCATAGTAGTTGCCACATGAAGTATTTTACAAGTTTTCACAATAACTTTGCCATTCACTACAGCGCAGTTGGGTTATTAACAAATTTAATTTCGGAAGTTCCATTGTTTCAAAATTTCAATTATATCTGGTTTGTTTACTACAATTTGCTTGACTATATTTGAGTCCGTTCTCGGTTGAAACTTTCAATATTGATTGGGATGCTCAATTATCTGTGGATCATACCGTAGTAGGTGTATTGCTAGTTTATGTAAATACAGATTAATGGAAAAGTTATATGAATTATAGTTTCTGTGTGGGAGGGTCCATGAAAATTTATGTTTGTTGTGTTCTTCGTTAATGGATAGTATGCGAGTATATTTCAGATTCGAACTTTTGGAACATATATTGTGGTTTCATAACGAATTCTTCAGTTTTTGAGATTTTCAATCAGAAACTCTTTCATTGGAATTTATGGACCGTTGATTTTGGGATACCTATCTATCTCTTATCTAGTGTTTTTTTTTTTATCTGACTGTACTTTTTCTATTGAGGACTCTCTGAGAACTGATTCTTATTGGACTACATGGTGGCTTGTCGCATTCCATCTGGGAATTTTGCCGAACCCATCTTTGTCGATTGTAGGAATATTTTTCGTCACTGATACACGGGACCATCAGTTTTATATCGCTTTCCGAAAGATGGCGTTTCTTGCTAATACCAAATTCCAAATATTAACATCGACGTTAGAGAGACAGAAACGCTAATATCTAGACAACAACGCCGTATTTTTTCCTTCGGTGCTGCTTTGCTAGCATTAATCGGTTTCTTGGTACCCACTTATCATCTTTTGGTGGATTTTTGATTTATGAGGGTCTGGCTTATCAGGGTCGCAGATATCCATTTCCTCTTATCATATGGGCTAGATGAAGTCGGCTTTTTAACTTTTTACTTTTAATACAATCTAGCTTTTAGATTAATTTCCACGTTTAGCGTTTTAATACACAAGAAAATATATATTTTTTTTTTAATCATGTTTAGGTGCACTCTACAGAACAAACTAAATGGTAAACTAGAAATAAACCTAGATATAATGTTATGCAAATTTACAACTCATTAAAAATATAAAGAACATAGTCAGCTTTTTTACTTATATACTGATTTCTCTTTTTATTACATTCAGAGCGGCATTGAAAACTGAGAAGATCTATATGAGAAAAGTCCTGATTGTAATTAGTGACTAGACGCGCCATGATGCAATTCAGACTAAGTATATAGTTAATTTTATGTGCATATTGGAAAAAGACCTGCTTCTGTCGGGTTCTTCTTCCAGGAACCAGAAATCCAATTTCTGTCAGAAGTTCGGACGAGTTGATAAGGTTCTGCAGAATTTTGTAGAGAAAAATGAGCTGGGCTTTTATGCGTCGATTCTCAAGGCTGGGTATGCCGCAGAGCTGTAGACGAGTCTTATACTCGAGGCTCTGGTAAGGAAACCTCAGTTTGTAGAGCAGGTATTTGGCAAATTCATTTTCCACTCCTTCTAATATGGCATACGTAACTTGGAGTCCAAATTAGGCTGCAGTATTCAAGTGTGGATCCAATGAGATTGTAATATAGATAGTGGACTCCGTACCATGTCTCTGGTGTTTCGTTTGATAAGACCTAGAAGTTTAGAACTTTTATGACTATATTGTTGATGTCTTTGTTGAAGGACAAGTTTTTTTCTAGGTCTCTAAAGGTATTAAGTGTTACCAGATTGGCGATGTTAATGGTGTATGTGGGCCGTTTAGAATTTAAGGTCTTATGAAAAATCATGGGTTTGCACTTAGTATAACATTGATTTTGGAATTTGAGTTGCCCCAAGCAATCAATCTGTCCAAATCCGGCTGGAGAGAGGTAGAATGCCCGTCCACAACTGCGAAAAATTTCAAGTCGTCAGCGTATAATGAGCAGAGGGATAATTGGAAGCATTGAATGACGTCATTTATGGAAATCACAAAAAGATTCGATGTGCGAACCCTGACAGACCCCGGATGGAACTATGAAGTCGTGGGATACTGCACCGCACACACCAACTCTTTGACATCTTTTCGTTAAGTACTATTCTATAAATTTTGAGAAATGTGCACTGAAGCCCATATCTGAGAGCTTATTGCACACACTATCAAAGGCCTTTGAAATGTCCGTGAAGATGATGTTCACCTGTTTTCCTGATTCCACAGCTTTCGTTCGTTAGGAGCTGTTGGTAGACAGCAAGATTTGTAGCAGTGGATTTTCCCTTGCAGAAACCGTGCTGTTCGTTAGCAATGTAGTTAGCTACTGAAGCATGAATACACATCATTTGTTAGAATGGAATCCATAATTTTAGGAATGTGCGATAGTAGAGATATGTCTCGAAAGAAAGTTGGGAAATATGCTTCAGAGGTTCTATTAGGGATGTGCAACAGCCTTTAAGAAACACTGGGGAGAGACCACCCAGTGAGGCATCGATATTCAAAATTACTCTCTGTATAGTAGTAAGGTCATCGGCTTTTGGCGTTTGTCTATACTTCCGTATGAGAAACTAAGCTCCAAAGGTGGATATATACCAATTATCTTACGTAGTGCAAAGTTACTGGTTTTGGACACAGGTAGAGAAAATTCATTTGCGGAAATAAGATCCAGGTATCTATTGTAGCTAATTCTTCACATTCTTGAGTTGCTGAAGTTCCAAGAAGAACATAGGTACTATATCTATCAGAGTTTGCTCGGTCAAGGAGTGGATAGGTAATGGTACCAGAAAATCTAGTTGACATTGGGAATATTGAAGTCACCGAATAAAAGTTTTGGTTCCGGTAAGTACCAGTAATTGGGCGAGTCCTATAGTAATTGCACCAAAAAAAAATGGGGATATCAGGGTCTGCGTGGATTTTAAAGTGACCTTAAACCAAGTGTTGCGTCAAGATATTTATCATCTATATACCAAGTATAAATGACCTTTTAGCAAAATTGAATGGGGGCTCTGTATTTCGTATCCTCGATTTGTTGGGTGCCTATCGAGAATTGTCTGTGGATACCTCTTCTCAGGAACTTTTGACCATTAACACGAATTTTGGATTGTATAGATATACTCGGCTAACTTATGGGATTACCAGTGCCCCAGCAATTTTTCAAATGACTATGGATAAGATTTTAAGTGGTTTGAATGGTCTGATTGATGACACTTTGGTCATGGGTAAAAATTGTGCTAACTGTTACAAAAACGTGTGTCAGGTGCTTTCTCGAATGGCAGAGTGAAAGTGAACATATCAAAATGTAGATTTTTTTCTGATTCTGTAGAGTACTTGGGGCATAGGATTGACGCCGAAGGCATACATTCAACATCTGAAAAAGTTCAAGCAATTTTGAATGCTCCTGACCCAAAAAACTTAACTGAGGTGAGAGCATTTTTGGGTTTATTAAATTTTTATAATAAATTTCTTCCTATGTTGTCATCGGTCTTGAAACCCTTATACCATTTATTAGAGAAGGGGGTGGAATTTAAATTGGATAAAGCTTGTACGGAGGCGTTTTCTGCAGGAAAAAAATACTAATAGATAATCAAGTGCTTGTTCATTATGATCGGGTGAAACCACTCAAACTAATTTGTGACTCCAGTTCTTATGGAGTTGGAGCGGTACTGTGTCATACCATAAATAGTTTTGATAGACCAATATGGTTTATTTCTGCTACTCTCTTAGAGGCAGAAAGAAATTACTCTCAGCTAGATAGAGAAGCACTGGCAATTATTTTTGCTGTAAAACGCTTTCATAGACTCTTGTATGGGCGTGCGTTCACTCTACTTTCAGATTATCAGCCACTAAAAATGATATTTAACCCATTGAAGTCGTTGTCTACTATTGCAACATCAAGAATAACCCGTTGGGCTGTATTCTTGTCAGCTTATAATTTTAACATTGTGTATAAAAAGGGTTCTCAAATTAGTCATGCTGATGGTTTTTCAAGACTGCCCTTACCTGATGAGACTGACGTGTTGCATATAACTTCCTTTAATCTTTTGGATAATGTACCAATTACCTCTTATCATATTTCTTTTCGTACAGAAAAGGATGTGGTCTTATCTAAAGCTAAGGATCTAATTGTGCGTGGTTGGCTACAATCGATATCTAATTTGGATTTAAAGCCCTTCTTTTATAAAAAAGATAAACTTTCAGTGGAGAGAGGATGTATGTTGTGGGGTAGCCGTGTAATTATTCCAACAACCTTGAGATCCAAAGTATTGAGTTTTCTTTACGAAAGTCATATTGGTGTTGTAAGATCCAAAATGCTGGCACGTTCTGTGTTCTGGTGGCCAGGTTTATCAGATGGTATTGAAGAATTTATTGGCAACTGTGAAACATGCCAGTTGACGCAGAATAATTCACCTGAAAAAAACTTATTATCTTGGCCAAAACCACCCAAAATTTGGTTTAGAGTGCATAGGTAATGATTTTTTTGAAAAAAAAAGCGAATACATTTTTAATAATTCATGATGAAATGGGTTGATATTCATTTAATGTCTTCTACAACAGCTTCGGTCACTATTGAGAAACATAAGATAACCTTTTCTATGATGGGCCTACCTGACCAAATAGTTATTGACAACGGTCCCCCATTTAACTCAGCTGAATTCATCAAATTGTATCAGGCAAATGGAATTGACCCAGTTTTAACCCCTCCAATTCACCCTCCATCTAATGGAACCGCAGAAAAAGGGGTTCAAGATATTAAAAAAAAATTTAGATAGACAACTATATGATGAATCCAAAACTAATTATTCCCTATCTATGTCAGCTAGATTAAAGGGGGTGTGACCCTAGAAAATGACTTAAGCTACTTAAATCAAGAAAAAAATTCTAAGATCTCTCGTGAAAACCGCATTCCTGTGTTCAAAATAGTTTCCGAGAAAATTCCTTGTGAAGATCAATTATGCAGGAAATTTGATGTCACAACCGCCAAAATCGCAGTCTTCTGGTCGTTGAGTCGTCAGTGAATCGTACCCTATACTTTGAGTGGTTGCAATTCGCTTTAGGAGATAATTATCTTTTGTTTTCGAGAATTCTCACACGTGTTAATACTGTCCCTGAAAATCCAGTGTGACGTCACAAAAGCGTAGTTGTAACTTTAAACCGCTCTAACTCAAAAACGGACCATCGTAGCAAGATGCGGTTTGAATATCTATTCTTAGATTTTTTTTCACTAAAACTTTCATTTTTGGGTCACACCCCCTTTTTAAGCCAGTTTTTACTCACACATAGAAATACACCAACTACGACCACTGGATTATCACCTTTTGAAATTGTCTTTAAAGTAAAGCCTCGTACACATTTAGATCTTTTAAAACCTGATATTGGTTATAATACAACTAAAAATAAGTCTGATCCAGTTGTCGTAAGTAATTTTTTTTTCTAATGGTGAAAAAGTGTTGGTGAAGTGCAGATAAACAGATATATTTTGGGCATATGGCGTTAGTGTAAAAATGTTGAGTTCAGTGACTTAATTAGATTCAATGATGTCATAAGAATGTTCCATTGTTACTACATACGTAAATGTAAGGATTCTTTAGCATTAGAACATAAGTACCCTTCTGTTAGTTTGGAGTTAGAAACGCCATCTGAGCGGTCACCGACTAAATTACCTCAACTATCTTCTACATCTATTTCGTAAGCGTGTGATGTTGCTTGTCATTCAGGGATAAACCTTCATATAGACAATAAGTCTCCAGTAAGGAGAAGTCTTCCTCAAAGCCGACCCGAGTTTCAGCAATATGTCTATCGCGATAATCCTGTTGATCTCGGAGTGACAAGTGTTGGTACGGATTTGACTTTTAGAACTCCAGTACGTAGATCAAATAGGGTTCCCAAACCCATAATTAAATTGGATCTATAGTCTTACTTTTTTTTGAGAGAGGAAAAGTGCGGTATGCTTCACAATAGGGAATTCTCATGAGAAATAATTATGGTTCATTTTGTTTTTATGGTGCACATTTTTCTGTAAAATATTGAATATGAGCAATTTTGCATTTAATAAATCGACATTATTCTCATACGGCAATTATTAGTTTCAAATTGAAAAGTTTCGCGCGGAAAAGCTACGTTCAACATGGCCGCTTTTGGTGACGTCAACTGTTCATAAACCAAGGTTAAGGGTAGTTTAAACTGACCGTGAATAACGAACGTGGTCTATGCTTTCATGGTTCACTCTTGGGTCCTGAAGAACGATTGGTCCACGATCAGCTCACGTCACGTCACGACTGATATTGAACCACCATAAATGGGTCTATAGAGGGAAGATTGTCAAACTGCGCTTCTGTAAATCCTGTATCAATCACAATGAACTCAATCATGACAAACTTAAAACACAAAATGTCACAATACGCCAAATACAGAAACACCACAAACACCATGTAAAAACCACATTCCATGCAAAGATTTAATGCAGTCGATGGTACGAGCGATTTTTTCTGACAGTTTGCAAAGTGTCAGGGACTCTTGTGAGAACAGACCTTAACGTTGTATTTACAAACAGCTGACGTCACAAGTACCGACATCTTGAAGGTAATCGTTTTCACGCCAACGGAAATAATTTGAAATTTTATAAATTCTTTTTATTTTAATAAGGACATGATAGAAAAGAAAACATATGTATTTTATATTTGAAAACATAAGCAATAAGAAAAAAAATAATTTGAAAAATATGATTGTTCCCTATTGGGCCATCCTGCAAGTTAGGAAATGTCATGTCATAGATATGTCATGTCGTGTGGTCTTTAAAATAAACATAGCATATAATAAAACTGGGTATTTGCAAATTGGTTTTTCAATGATTCACATACTGTTACAAATGACCTGTAAGTCACCTCAGGGGAACTTGGAGGAATGTATGCTGATCTGATCACTATCTCACAACTGTAACAGATACAGTGGATCTATAGAAAAAGGATGCTGACCAATATTGATCGTGCTCTGGATAGGTTGAGCAGTTTTTGCTGGTGATTTCCTGATGGTATTAGCTGGGTTCTCAGGCTTTTTAGTGAACATACAATTGATAAATCTTTTACTGGAGTCAAGAATAATGTTAGCTACTCCGCTGAGTAGCTAAACTATGCTATTCATTACTGTGGCGTTGCCATAATACTTAATTAAACAAATAAGCATTATGAGTTTTTCATTTCTGGTTTATAATTTTTTAATCAAGTTCAGTTTCTTGATTTCCATTCCCCAGCCAAACTCAAGCCAACTTCTACTTATTAATGATTAAATAACAAGACTGTTGATTTCTTTAAAATAATGAGAGTGGACTGTATTATTTATATATTTACATTTATTTACACACACGACTATTTACACTATTTACAATTTGCATTTTCTCGTTTTTGTTTACGTTTTTAGACTTATAGAGTCTGTAAAAATGGTCATATAGGACCTGCCCAGAATTATCTGGTGCGCTCGGTGAGGTTCGATTCGACACTGACTGTTTCCGTTGGTTCACTCGCGTAGATGCCGGAAGCCACTTTACCAAAAACTTTGACAAGTGATTTTTGACACTGTTTGACACATACGCGCACACTTCCGGTGCATACCGGGAAAATTAAAATTTGAATTTTAAATTTACTGTTGGAATATTGTTTCCAACAAAGACGAGAATATTTTATTAAAGCAAGTCAATAATCCGTTGAATTTTATAATGGTTTGTTTTGCAGGCTTCCGACCTTAGTATCTTGTTTGAGGAATGATTGTTTTTTGTTATATTTAAAAGCTTTCCAAAATGGTTTACTTGAAACCGAAATGGGGGCGCATTGACTTAATTTGATAATCTATTATTCAATCATTAATATATGGTTCGATTTCGCCTTGGAGTTTCTCACTCACTGGTATTTGTTCATTGATCCATATTAAAAATACAGTCCACTTAATAAATTAAAACTTAGAAGCAAAGAAAAAATGCTCAAGAACAAAATCAAAATAGCTGCAGCCAACTAAGGTGAATTTATATATAAAGACTCCAAGCATTCACGGAAATCAGTGAATATGGTTAATTTAAGATTTACGTCTAGCTGTTGGGGGGACGAGGAAAGGGTCTGTCGGCTTCCCTTTGAGCCCTTTGACATCATCTTCGTAATCAGCGACCTCAAAAATTCCTTGAATATTAATTTTGTACGATTCCGTTTATGGTAGGCGCGCCGGTGCGTTGAACGTTAAGGGATATACATTTATAACAGATCCTCCCGGAAACTCGGAGGCAATAAAACAAAACAAAATTGTCAAGAATCCCCTTGTGGCATTAATCCCCTCCAAAAATGGTTGTACATCAATTTGCAACATATGGCCTCTTATCAGATAAACATTATCAGGCTCGAATACAATGTAAAATATAGTCATTAAATGCGATGATTTGAGGATATTTAGATAAAAATATGTTATTTTCGAATATATTCGAGATACTCTCCAGGGAAAATGTCGGATCAGATTACGTATAATGGCGAACTTAATTTAACGATCGTTTACCCTAAATCTATCAATTGATTATAGATGGCTAAATTTGATATAATTTGTCCAAATTAACTTAGATCTTATAATATTTCAGGAACAGCAGAAAGAACACCAAAGTCCTGTGGGAAAATGCTGTTAGAAAAGTATCAAGAGAACGTCGGAAAAAAAACTTGTCAGCTATTGCATTGTCGCTGGTTGACAAAAATAAATTTCAAGATATCGCCATTACCATAACACCACCTTCGTCACCTAAAAAATTAAATAACGACAGTTATTGTATTAGCAGTAGTTGGAACAATATAAAATATGAAAAACAAAACAATTTCGTGCCAATTGAACGGGATACAGATAATTTTACATCGAATGGCTTGTGCGAAAAAAAATTGGAACTTTATGGTGACTGTTTCACTCAAGATAAAGCTTATTATGATGAAACATATGATTCCAATGCTAAACGTAAGTAAATAAATACAGCGAAAAATCATTTATATGCCATTATGTGTTTTGTTTTAGCTGATTTTGCTTCTTTATTCAAAAAAGGCCTCATGTATAAAGGAATTTATTGGCCAAGTTTAACTAACAGTTTCCATTGCAAACATTTGGAATTGGCTTATCTGAGATACTCGCATAGACAAAGGCAAAAGGCTTTGATTATTGTCAATATCGTAGATCTACTTTTAAAGGTAAGACTATTTATCTTCACTCAACTTCAGTTATAACGAGACAAGTTTTGAGGCCCCTCGTTAAAGTTTGAATTTTGAAATTCTTGTAAAATAAATTGCTCTGTTAGGTTTTAGAAGGCCCAATAATTACACCTCTATGTGTGTATAATTGAGTGCAAGGTAGGTACATAGGAAACAATAATCTATTTACACATACTCAACAAGGGCCGTCTTAGCAGCATGTTTGTTTTGCTGTAATTAATGTTTCTAGATGTTTCTAATTTCATACATACCTAATATTATTCTCAAATATCTTGGAAATATTGACTATATGGTAAGAAGTGTTTTTCATTTATTTCTAATTGCGCTTACGATAGCAATGTTGGTTATAAGGTGTTTTTTTCTAGCCTTGATGAAGTATTAATGAAACTCAAAACGTCGTCAATATCAATAAATGAGGTTATTTTTACAAACAAAATTATAGAGGCCAGATGGCCGCTTGAAATTAATTTTCAGAATCAATTAAGATTCGTTTGAACAAATCGACAAGATATCGATACTTAATTTTCCTGCTAAGATGCGTAAATGTCCTTATCCAGAAAAATGTTATTCCCACAAAGATATGGAGTTTTTTATATTCTTACTTGTGAGTAAATGCTCGCGTTCCTCCTTGAAAATGGGGTCCATCATCCATCAGAAAACCTCTCAGGACCAGGATTGTCGTTAATCAATTTTCGGAATCCATTGTTATATCTACCTTTTTAATAACCGTATCTACTTTTCAGTAATTATCGTATATCTATACTTAGATTTAATTAAGGTAATTAGCCTATATAAATACCTTAGATATTTTCATTGGCGTTTCCATCGTTGAGATTTATTTGTTTATTATTTCTTCAGTTCCTTCTTACCAACTAAATCAATCTCATGAAAAAAGCAACGTCACAAAATTTTTCTGTTGAGTGCAAAAGCATACAAACATACATCATACAAAAATAAGCCTCAATGGGGAACTTTGATAAAATAACTATTATTGGATCTAGACCTGGTTTATTCATCTTCAGATTAACTTGCAGGTAACTATCTGCAAGAAAAATTTACTGTTCTATAATTCTATTTATTAGAAGTTGAATAAATCGGCCCTTAATCAAATAAATGAAAGGTACAGATGTGAATAAGATCATTTTCGCCAAATTTTCCAAATCTATTCAAAAATACAAAATTTATGAATTTTCATAAATGATGTTGCCGTCTCTCTGTCCTACTCGCATTGGCTCATGGCGATACCACAGAACGACGTCACATAGAATTAGTCTTTTTACTCCTGTAACTTTGTTAATGTTGAAGATATTCAAAAAAAATTTCTTTTCCTAACCACTTCGTAAACACACCAGGACAGTTATCATTGGAACAAATGTAAATAATTTCTATTATCTTTTCCAGACAAAGGTCTTTAATGAAATGATACTTAATTTCTATGTGTTTACCTCGCTTGGAGTTCTCAAAGTTTTTAATCATGGAAATAGCACTTTGATTGTCTATTTTTAAAGTAACAGGTTTGCACTCGCCAAAGTCTGCTGAAATACCTCTCAAATTGATCACCTCCTGAGCTGCGCAACCAGCTGCTACATACTCAGCCTCCATTGAAGAAAGGGCTACACAACTTTGCTTTCGTGAGTGCCAAGCTATTGGATTTCCGTCATGGAAACATATGAAACCACTTATGCTCTTCCTTGTCTGCCAATCACCAGCCCAATATGCATCACACATAGCTTCTAAGCCTCTATCATTTTTCCCATACATTAATCCATAGTTCTTAGTTCCATTAAGGTAGCGCATAATCCTTTTTCCAGCTTTCCATGCTTGTATTATTGGCTTTCCCAGGTATCGGCTTAAGTAACAAACACTATAAGCGATATCTGGTCTTGTCACCAATGCCAAGTATACCAGACTGCAAATCAGTCTTCTATACGGGATACGGGATATTTTCTTCTATAGGTTGTCCTTCATCCATGTGAAAATTTACTTCCATCGGTGTTGCTATGGGTCCACTATTTTCCATAACGAACTCTTTCAATAGTCGTGTAATCATTTTTGTCTGGCTAATCTTGATACCTCCTTCATTTTTATTTATCTCCATTCCCAGAAATGTCTTCACTTCAGTTATATTCTTAACCTTGAATTCATTATACAAACTGTCCACTAATTTGTCCACTTTTTCTTTTGGTCCCGTTATCAATGCATCGTTCACAAACAACACTAAATAAACATCGTCTTTAACATACAAACAATAGTCATATTATAATCTAAAATTTAGTCTCAACATTATTTCACTGAACTTCATGTTCCAACACTTCGGTGCGTTACGCAGTCCATACAATGCCCGGTTGAGTTTTAAATACTTTGAGTCGCTTCTGAGTCCCTCTGGCCTCTTGATATACACCCATTGTCCAATTGACCATTTAGGAACCCGTTTGGCACATCTGTCTGGCTCAGTACCCAGTCTTTTTGCGTTGACACTGAAATTAAAAGTCTAATTGTAGGAAGTCTGCACACTGGTGCATAAATAAACTCTTCGCCCTCTTGTGGTACCTGAAACCCCTTGCTACAAGTCTCGCTTTCTTCGTGCCGTCCTCTTTCACCTTAAAAATCCATCTCGTATCAATTGCTTTTTGTCCTTCAGGTAGTTCGGTTGGCGTCCCGGTATGTAATTTCTCATGAAATTTCAACTCATTATTTACTGCTTTCAGCCACTCTTCTTGATATGTCTTTGGCTCTTCCTGACTCTCTGAGAATAAGCAATATGCCACATACAGCTCATAATCATCCAGATTTTTAGGCTTTCTTGTATTTCTTCTAGATCTAGTTACTGTACAATCTCTCGGTGGTATATATTCAGGATCACTTGAGCTTCCACTGCTTTCATCTAAACTTTCATATTCTATATCTTCATCTCCCGCAATTTGTCTCCCTTCTTGAGTATTCTCTGTCTCATTTGAATTTCTATATTCTTCTACTGTTATAGGTATATAATTATTTTCCTGTTTCTCTACATTCTTGAATTCCATAATAGACTCATCAAACCTAACATCTCTTGATCGAATGATTCTTTCTTCTGTAGGTGACCATATTCTGAAGCCTCCTCCACAATATCCCATCATCACTGCTTTTACTTTGGATTTACCTTGTTTCTTTTTTGGTAACACTATATCTATACCATGCTCGACAACCGAAAATTCTTAATTTGGTCAAATCATTTCTTCCGTGCCAGATCTGTGATGGTGTCGTTCCTTGTGGTAAAACTGATGTCGGGGTTCTATTGAGTTCATATGCAGAACACTTCACAGCTTCTCCCCTTAGTGATTTTGGAATGCCAGAATCAATTATTATTGTTCTTATCATATTTAACAAAGTTCTGTTCATCCTTTCAGATATACCGTTCATCTGAGGACTGTAGGCAATTGTATATTCTAATTTAATTCCCTTTTGTCTGCAAAAATCTTTAAAAATTCTTGATGTAAACTCTCCTCCATTATCTAGTCTGAAACGTTTCACTCTTACATTATGCTGTGTCTCTAACTCGAGTACATAATCTCTCAGATTTCCTTCTGCATGTTTATTCTCAAGTAACTTCACAATAACAAAATGCGAGTAATCATCAAGAATCACTTGAAAATATCTTTCTCCATTTACTGTGTTAGGTGTCACAGGTCCACATAGATCACTATGAATCAATTCACCTATGGCTGTTGTACGCATCTCATTGGTTACAAATGGAGAACGTGTGGCTTTCCCTTCAACACAAGTTGAACAGATTCTGTCTGAAGTTTTCAAACCTAGCTGTGACAGAACATCTTTAGTTGCATGCCCAAGTCTTCTGTGCCATATATCATCATCTATGGTTAGATTACATTCCTCTTTTGCCCTATCAATGCTATCTAGCGTAAGTATATACAATCCGTTTCTATCCTGGCACGTTAAAGCAAAATTTTTACCTCTAATTGTAGTTTGGTCTTTTTCCACTAAAATCTGGTGTCCTCTAGATGTTATTTTTGATGCTGACATCAAGTTATGCTTTATTTTTGGTACAATCAAAGCCTCAATATAAACAGTTTGCCCTTGACAACTTGCTTTTAACTTTCTCACCTTGTTTATCTTCAAAACTTCTCCGTTGGCAATGTATACTGATACATTCTGTGGTAAGGTTTTTACATCATGCATATACTGTTCCAATTCCTCTTGAACAAAATGGTTACTTGCACCTGAATCCAATATAAAAGTTACTTTACCCTCAGGTATAGTATTACATACATTTGCTGCATACAGCACAATTTGATCGTCAACAGCATTAGCCTCTTGCTTATTATAATATCCACTTGCTCCTTGGTTGAAGCTTCCACCTCTACGTCCTCTTGAATTATGTACTCTTCCTCTAAACCTGCCTCTGTAATTGCCTCAGTAGTTGCCTCTTATATTGTTAAACTACATATTTCGTTTTGAACACTGTGCTTTAAAGTGATTTTTATCACCACATATGAAACAGCCTTTGTTAGTTGTAGCCTTAAAACTAACTTCATTCTCCTGACCCCCATTTTCAGCTCTTGAATTTAACTGTATCTCTTCGTCTAAAAGTCTGGCCTTGACAAAATCAATTTTTACGTCACTTACGGTTTCTAAAGCAGTAATAACTGCATCAAATTTCGACGGTAACGGAAGCAATAAATGACAAACTCTATTACTTTCATCTATGTTTGAGCCTAAGTCTTTGAGCTCCCTTATTATTGTGTCGAAATTTAGGAAATGGTCTTCCAACTTCTCATTCATACCTGGCTTCAATCCAAGTAATTTTCTCCAAAGTGATAACTTCGTGAATGCACTAGCTCTCACAAAAACATCCTTCAAAGCAGAAAGCTGTTTCTTTGCAGTTTTGCAATCTTAGATGATGTCCAGATGTTTATCTGAAAGACCTTGCACAATCACTGACTGTGCCTTAGTATCTAGTCGAAAAAACTTATTTTTCT